AAAACGAAAATCCCCAAATTATCCTCTTAGGCAGGTAAAAAATGACAGGCTGATGCATAAATACACACATCAAAGTAAACTTTTAAGCAAACCTTCTCTTCTGATCATATCAAACAGACAGTATAGTGCGTTGTAACGGAATCTTTATAAAGTATCATTGCACATATTTTAGTTTGGTTAGTAGTCACCAACATATTTGAATCTGATCATATTTTCTTATTCAAGCCTATTCCAATTAGAGTGAGTACGCTTCATTTTACCACACTTAAGTTATTTCTATACACGACTACAAGATTTACTAAAACTATCATTTTATCTCTCAACAAAATAATAAGAACAATGTCATTTTGCTAAAATACATGAAAGTGTCGAGGGTTTAAAGTAATAAGCAGACTGTTGGCATCACTGATGATTAATCTTCATTCTTTTGTGTGCCAATGTAGGAACATGAGGCTTGAAGTATTGACTTTCAGGTTTCAGTAGCGGTGATATCTTTTTACTGAATGACATCGCCAGCATCACAATCAATGTCCCTTATTTCCTACTACCTGCAAAGTGAGATTTAGGGTTGCATTGGACGGGTTTCAGCTTAGGTGGTTCATAAACATTTTATTAATAGTGATAATAACAAGAAATGATTATGAATCGTGATCACTTAGTGGGTGATGTAATTAACTCTAAATTCTAGTGAAAATGGCAAGGAATTTTAAATAAAAACCTGTAAAAACCGTTTATAAATTTGAATAGCACTAAATATAAATATAAAAACTCAGAATAAAGAACAAGACTCACATGTTCAACACAAATGTAAAGTCAGCCAGTCAGTTCTCTTATATGGGTTGAAAAGTTGCACTGCATGTCACAAAAAGCATTTCCAACAGCCGCTTACAGACTTTCATCAACAACTGCCTTTGATAGCTCCATACTGAAGAAGAAACGGCCACCCGACCAAAAAGAACCAACCAAGAATCAATTGCTCAAAAAATATTTAGAAGAAAATAGAGATGCATTGAGTATACGTTAAGAAAGCCATCGAATGATATAGTGAACAATGCAGGCCATCGGTTGAATGGACTCCGATTGGGAAGCGATGAGTGGATCGTCAGTGAGAGGGTGACATGGAGCAGATTTGGGGTCAAAGGGCGATCATGTGGCCAGCCATCTGAAGAGGACTGCAGAAAATAGAAGAAAGCGGATATGAGTTATTGAAGCCTTACGTTCTACTCGGAACCAAAAGGAATACTTATAATAATAACAGAGACAGACAACGACTAATTGCAAGTTTAATCACGTTTTGAAGTTGGTTAGCGAACCTGGAGGTACTGTACATTTGTTTCGTCCTAATTTTTGGACCCCTCAGAGATATATATACACCGAGGTTCAAACCGAAGTCCTTGCAGTTCCTCCAGTCTCTGGGACCCCATCCAATGGGGCGACGGTGACAACTTCTGTCAATTAGCGATAGGAATATATATATATCAACCAGCAGCCAATATCATGAGCGAGTAACTGACGTCTTACCAGAGTTAAGGGACCCCAGTGGTAACGAATTCTTACGTTCTTCGGTGGCATAGCGGTAAGAAGGCTCGCTGACCATGCACATGGTCCGGGGTTCGACCCTCGGCCACAGACGCACTCCTTTACCTCGCTAGGCCAGAAATAATTCTGGTAAAAAGGAAAGGTTGGGCATGAGTCTAGCAACCCCATCTTGTAAAATTAAACACTGCTACAGAAACTTCAAGCCACTAGCTTGAAGGCGCCCTATGTTCCACTGGGGAACGTGAAGGAAATAAAAAAAACTGTTAACGAATTCTCACTAGAACGTCCAAGTAAAAAATATTTAAGGATATCTAAATTTTAGCTGTCACATATGGTTTTAACTGTGAGGGCTGAACGGCCGTTTTTCTTTTATCGGTGCATTAGGACACTGACTAAAAATTGTCATGAGACACAAAAATTAAAGTATATTACGCTTAAGTTAGTATTACAAGTTTAGAATATTTAGAATTTTTTTTCCACAGACGTCACGTATTGGATCGTATTGTGGAAAAAAGGCTTTCTATCGTATGTTATAAAACGATCAAAGAATTTATTACCGAAGGGTACATTGATGGTGTCTTTTTTTTCTAATCTTGAACTGTATAATGATTAAATAATGCAATAAATGAACGTAAACGAAAATGTTTTTTCTCCACTCTGACAATTATAATGAAGGCAAATAAGACTAACATTTATGCCCTACTTTTTTTCAATTAATTCTAATTTATTCGGCGTCAGAAGGACATGTTTATCTGAAAATGTTGTTATCTCCGAGAAGCGTTCATAATCACTAATAAATTGTTTATTGGAAGAAAAAATGTAATTATCTTGGATAGATGGATAATGAGTAGACCTCTAAATGTGGTATCAATCCATTGTTAAAATTTGATGCAAATGGAAACCCTACAAAATACCTCTTGAAAACTACCCTCATGTTTGCTAGTGACTGGCTTTAGGAAGATATTGCCTGGAGGGAGTTCTAGTGAGTAGTCATGATCAATGAGTTCAACCTGTTAGGTGTGAGGACAAATACTTGTCGACAACATTAGCTGAGGGCCGTGATAAAGTCACGAATTGGTAGAAGTTAGAATACATGAGCGATTAGATCGTATTCTAGTAGCTGAATAGTCTACGAGCCTTATTTGTAAGTGAAAAATCCTGCATTGGAACCTCTAGGGGTTGGTACTGCCTATGAGTCCTAAACTAGGACGAAACAGCTTTCCAGTACGTTAAGCTGGTTCTTAATGTTCCTCTAACTGACATCAATCCGTTGTCATACTAGAAACAACTGAAATCTCCACGAACTAAATCTTGGAGATGAGGAATTATTCTTTGTTAAAGTTTCACAGACAGTTATCTCAAAGTTAGCTGGTGGATGGTGACTAGCAGTAGATTTCACCAGGATGCACATTTCGTCCCCTGACTGGGACTCGTCAGCTAGATTTGTCTGCATTCTTCACACCGAGGCTCGAACCCAGTGCCCATAGACTCAATCCCCGAAAGCCACCCCTTGTGCAACGGGTCATATGAATTATTTGATTGAATTTTTGATTTTCCCGTCGACTGATTGAACCGAAGTGTTCGGTATCGAGTTGACACGCCAGCTTCTGGTGCAGATGCTTTAACGATGTTTGGGCATGTAACTAGAAGTAAACTGGTAGATGGTGACTAACAGTGGAATCCAGGATACGTATTTCGTCCTCTGATTGGGGCTCGTCAACTGGATATACCTGCACTTCTCAATGAGTGATGGTATTCCCACTGAGGCTTGAAGTGAACATCATGGATTCAACTGCTAGTTACCACCCATCAACTGACTTCTAATTACATGCCCAGATATCGTCGAAGCATCTGCACCAGGAGTCGACACATCAACTTGAGACCGGGTACTTCGGTTCAATTAATTATTATTATAATTGCTCCCTTAGGTTCCTAGTGGAACACGTCTCCACTTGCTTCTGTCTCCTGCTGTGCTTTTCACCTGCATCCATGTTGATCCATACTGTCTCAGCTCCTCTTCACACGATCTCCTCCATGTCACCCTTGCAGTGACAACCGACTAGCCGGTTCCCTTTCGGGTTCCACTCGAGCAATGGTCTGCGTTACGAGCGATGTCACCCAGCCGCCTCCTCAGCGAGTGTCCATTCCATCTCCACTTTCTCCTGCATATTTGTTGAGCGGCGATTTGTTCTTGTTTTGTTCGTTCCCAGCCATAGTTTCTTGTTGGTGATTCTTTCCGGCCCGGCCATCTGACCTTCAGTAGTAGCGAAAACAGTTGTTGATAAAAGAAATATTCTTTGTGACCCACCCGCGAAGTTTCTGATCCGTAAAGAAGAACTGACTGACTTGACGTTGTTTGCATTGAAAATCCGACCTAATTTTGTTGTTGATGCTGGCTGAGTGATGACGAAGATTTCCAGATTAGTTTCAGTTGATTGATGAATGTGTTTCTCGCCTTCCCGATTCTCGCTCGATTTGACATCCTCGTCCGTTCCTAATGCCTGTAGTTGAAACAATGCTCCATAGATAAGTGAATGAAGTAACCTCTTTCAAATCCCTCCCGTTGATGTTGATTGGCACTGGATGTTGCTGCTATTGTTGTTGTTGTTGCCGTTGGCTAGTTATTTTTATAACCTCCGTCTTGTCTATGTTCACTTGGAGTCCTGTCTTCGCCGGCTGCTTCTTTGACCAGTTTGTCGGTTTTCGCTTGTCGGTTCAATAATTCGACGGTAAAATCTAAAATTGAATTCGACAATTTCCTCGTCAAAATAATTCCCGTTTTCGTTTCCGTTTACCTGTATATGGTGAGTGAAGAGGATTTTCAAGACTAAACATCAACTAAGACTCATGGTATAACTTAAACGTTTGCTTCAGGATTTCACCATGAGCTGACATTAGTTAGAGAACCATTGGAAAACCTGGGAGTACTGGACAGCTGTTTCGTCCTAGTTTGGGACTCTTCAGCAGTACGCACCCACCGGGAGAGTCCCAAACTAGGACGAAACAGCTGTCCAGTACTCCCAGGTTTTCCAATGGTTCTCTAACTAATGTCAGCTCATGATGAAATCTTGAAACCAATCAAATCCCTACAAACCAACACTTAAACGTTTGCTGTTATTTTTCCATATTTCCCCATCAGTTTTCCATATATATTCGTTAAGTGAAATAATTATAAATGTGAGCAATCGTCATAATGCATTTAATTCAAAAAAGAAACGACATATAACATGAAATATATTCAACCATTGAATCCTTTGAGTTATTCTGTTAAATAGATTACATCATTTCCGAGTATTTTATGTCCTAATTCAAAAGAATAATGTATGGAACTAAAAACGTTTCTTTGTAAACCTAATAATCATACAAATTGTTAGAAAAAGACTAAAGGTTTGATGACGTATCCACTCATCTTAGATTTCATCGTTTTCTTTCTGTTATTTTCTCTCCTTCAATTCTCATAGTACATGAAGTCAGCTTTATGCTAGATTCACAAGACTACGATTATATAATACCTCATAATGGATTGATTGGCTTTCGTTTATGGATACATTCCAGTGAAGAACAAGCGCATAATATGCTTGATACAAAAGATAATTTCTGGGCAAATGGAGTGAATGAAAGTGAATTGCATCAACAAACAGGTATCGAGGCAAATGAAATTATTGTCAGCACAGAATTTCAAACTCTTATCCGCGTAGCATTAGATATGAATGTGAGTTTCAAAACTTTTTCTGCAAGTTGTGAATAAAGTTATTATTATTATTATGAATCTTCAAGCCCTAGAGAAATATAGGGCTTCAGCCGCACGTCTACTTTGCGTTCGGTTCTCTGCTAAAGTTTTCACATGGCTCCAAGTCTGCCCACATGCTTTCATCTCTTCTTCACACGACCTCCTCCAAGTAACCCTCGCCGCTTCCCTTTCGGGTTCCACTCGAGCTATGGCCTGTCTAGTGATGTCACTTGATGATTTTCTCAGAGTATGACCAATCCACCTACATTTCTTCCTGCATATTTATTGCACAGTCTGTTCCTTCTGGGTTAGTTTATTCGCTCCCAGGGACCCTGTCTGCTGCTTATCTTCTCTGGCCATCTGATCTTGAGTACTGAGCAAAGGCAACTGTTATTGAAGGTCTGTAGTTTGTTCGAAGTGCCCTCCGTGACACGGCCCAAGCCTCTGATCCGTGTAGTAGCACTGACTTCATATTGGAGTTGAAAATCAGGATCTTATTTTTCATGCTGAGTTCTGTTGACCTCCACACAGACTTGAGAGTAATGAAGCCTTGTCTTGCTTTCCCGATCCTCGCTGCTTTGATATCCTCGTCGGTTTGGCCTGTAGCTGAAACGATGCTTTTCAGGTAGGTGGGTAGACAAAGGAAGTCGTTTCGTTCAGGTTCATCCTATTTATGCTGATTGTTGTCTGTTGTTGTTGCTGTTTCCCAGGAATCTTCATCACCTCTGTTTTCTATATGTTCACCTGTAGTCCTTCCTATTTTCGATTCATCTATTGCCAACGTGTTACTTTTCACTTGCATATCTGCAATAGTTTAGAAAAAGTGTCATTTCGAATACCATACGCTTTCTTATCTGACTACATTTTCAGTCAAGTATTTATATGTGCGTTTACAAGCCAATAATTTGAGGTAGGCTGACACATTGTGTTTCGGTGACATAGCTGTAGGATGCTCGCCGACTACGCATGTGGTCTGGGGTTCAATCCTCGGCCAACGCATTCTTTTACCCTCTAAGCCAGTAATAAGACCAGCAAAGAGGGAAGGTTAGGCATGAAGCTAGCAACTCCATCACGTAAAAATAAGCGCCACTGCTACAGAAATTTTGAGCCACTAGCTTGAAGTCCTACGTTCCAATGGGATCGTAAAGGAATTCAAAAAAGGCTGGCACATTTCAAATCCTCAAGAGTTATTTTGTTGGGATTTGATTCGTTTCAAATTTGATCATCGATCGATGTCAGTTACAAAACCACTGAAGAGCAGAAACTCGTAGACAGCTATTAGGTCTTAGTTTGTAAATCTTCAGGAGTAAATAACAACCGGGATTCACATCCAGGATCTTCCACTTATAAATCAAGCAACTAGGACCTGATCTAATTCGTGACTTTAGTGCTACCATAATCAATTGTGACTGACTTTCGACCGGCTGGAACTCACTCGTCACAACTTTTCAAAAGAACTCGAGGAAATGTATAACAGAAGTTAGTAATTAGCAAGCAACGCATCAATTTAGAAAGACTTAGTGTTGGTCATAATAAAATGGCCAATCGATAGGATTTAAAATTCAAACGCTTATCCTTATGTTGGGTTCCAGTGAGTGAATGATCTACGAGATCACCTTGTACGCGGAAAGTTCCAGGTTCTAACAAATCTACTGCTGCAGAGCCACTAACAGGGACGAAACAGCGAGTGATGGTGTTCCCAACGAAGCTTGAACCCAGTGCCCATAGTTTCAAACGCCAAAGCGTTATCCACTAGATCACTTGGGCCACGAGAACCAGCTACCTCTTGTGAAACGGGGCATATTAAATGCAGGTACATCCAGCTGACGAGCCCCAATCAGAGGACAAAATGCACATCCTGGATTCCACTGCCAGTCACCGTCCTCAAATTAAATTCTAATTAAATGCCCACACATCGTAGAAGCACCTGCACAAGAAGCCAAGATGTCAACTTAAGCCCGAGCATTTCGGTCCAATCAGTCGACGGGAAAACCTGAAATTAAATTAAAAGGTTTAATTTGTGTTTCCCTTTGTACAGTTTACCAGCTTAAAGGCAATTTTTGCCTTTTACTAGTTTTAAATATTTACATTATCTATTCTGTTGATTATCAGGGTCATTTGAGCGCACCGGATTGAATGAATCAAATTTATTTTTACAAATTAAATAGAACCTTATATAAAATTTATCATATTAAATTATCCATCCTGTAGCATTTCTTGTTATATACGATGTCTTTTGTCTTTTTTGAATTAAACGCGGTGACTTTCTTTTTTTTAATAACGGAAACGATCATTGTATCAGTTTATGGGATACAAAGTCACAACGAAATGAAATATAATCGCTTCTTTATGGTCTCCGTTTATTATTCTATAACAAAAATATCTTACTAATAATAACAATAATACCTAAATACGCTATAAAATGGACACACAATGTAACGTCGTCTCCTTAATATTCATTTTTAAATGTCACCTAAAATATTGAATTTAGTAAATATTAAGGTTTCTTTAAGTAAAAAGAAGAGTCGCCATTGTTTTGTTGACGTAATAAAAGGACTATGAACATAGGTTTCTTTCACAATTAAAAGTAGTGTATATATGTAAATACTACCTAAAACAATCGAATATTTAAATCAAATCAAACTAAATGTACCTTGCCGTACAATTTTTAATGGGAGAATTTAGACAATTTGTTATCTTTTCTAACTGTATTCCCTATATACATATATATATATATATATATATATATATATATATATATAAATGGACTTACATGTTGTCACACTGCACAATTAACCGTAGGAAAAAACATCACGGTAATCGTTGAATATTTCAAAGTTTAAGGTAGTTGACAAGAAAGATCTATAGTTGTTACTTTCTGGAAATTTATTAGAAGCAAGTGTTTTCTAACATGCAATACTTTCTTTTGAATATGCGATTAACTATGAATACAACTGAGGGTTGGACGAGGCAGAGGTATTCTGGTCCGCTTCGAATGGAATGTAGGGATTCAAAGCAACATCTGCATTCCTCTTCAGCTGACTGGACGTCTGATCATAAGATCTCGTCCCGTTTTTCACATGATCCATTCCATGTCACCATCACGTCACAAGCCCAACTAGTCGTTTGTCATTTTAATTCCACTCAAGAGGTGGTGTAGCACACGATGCAGCTAAATGTTCTTCTCAGTACAGTTTGTCCGTTCAATCCCCATTATGTTCATCATAAGTGTTCATGGTGTGATTTGTTCCCAGAGTTTCTTGTTGCTAGTTCGATGTCACTTGCTTTTTAAACCAACAAACTGGCTGAAGATGCAGGCAGCAAAGACAGGACTTCAAGTGAACAAAGAGAAGGTGAGGTTGATGAAGATAAACAGCTAGTGATAACAACCAGCACTAATCATCATCAGCGGGAGAGATTTAACAGAGGTTGCCTCCTTCACTTATCTAGGAAGCATCGTTTCAACTACAGTCGGAACGGATAAAGATATCAAAGCACTCTGAAATCTGCAGGGTAAGATACGCCTTCATCAACCTGAAACCAGTTTGGAAATCCTCTGCTTTACTCAGCCAGCATAAAGAACAAGAATCGGATTTCCAACACAAATGCGAAGTCAGTCAGTTATTCTTCATGGGTTAGAAACTTGCAGTGCATGTCACGAAAAAGATTTCCAGTAGACTGCAGACTTTTGACAACAGATACCATCGCTCCATATTGAAGATTAAATAGCCGGAAAGAATTAGTAACAAGAAACTGTGGGAACAAATGAACCAAGAGCCGATCGCTCGACAAATATGTAGGAGAAAATGGGGATGGCTTGCGCATACGTTGGGCAGGTCGTCAAATGATATCGCAAGAAATGCATGCTGTCTCTTGAGTGGAATTCTATTGGGAAGTGACTAGTGGATCCTCAGTGAGAGGTTGCCATGGAGGAAGTGGAGATGAGAGATTATGGTCAATCGTGGACCCAGTTGAAGACGACAGTAGAAAGTAGAAGAATAAGGATATGTATTGTTGAAGCCCTGTGTTTCACTCTGAGCTCAAGGGAATAATAATAACAATAAATAAATCTTTCTCGCTGGCCAGTCATCTAATCTTCAGTATGGAGCCATTGACGGAAGCTAACTATCAAATTCTGCGGCGGGTTGATTAAATATTTTTCGTGACGCTTAATGAAAGCCTTTTTATCCACACAGAAGAGCTGACTGTTTTTTTTATAGGTGTTAAAAATTCGAATTTGTTCTGTATACCGACTGAGTGCAGAAGATTTCCACACTAATTTCAGATTGATGATTGTCTGGCTTGCCTCATCCGATCTGGTCTGGTTTTGTCATTCTAATGAGTGTCGTCCTCTTGTAGCTGAAACAGAGCGTGATTAACGTCTTTCAAATTTATTCCGTTTATAATGACTGGTGCTTGTTGTTGGTTGGTTGGTTGGTTGGTCGTCGTCATCATCTCAGTCTTCTCTAAGTTCACCTAAATTTCTGTCTTTGCGGCTTTTTCAGCCAGATTGTTGGTTTTCACCTGTACCTTTTAGAGTTTTTGTGACATTAAACATGAATCATCCACAATGTTCAGAACTTCTAGAGTCTTCTTGTCAGTCCAATATATTCCTGTTTTTTTCTCGCTTTCCTTACATGATGCACCGAATAACCCATTCCACTAAAATTAGGAATATCACCGGTGATAGTCATTGACTGATGGCCTTGTCTTACTCCTGTCTTCACTTCAAAGGCTTTGCTGAGTTATCTGTTGTGGATCACTTGACATGTAGCATTGTCACATTGGTGAATATTTCTGGCGCGTTATCGAAAATGACGTAGGGATTTGAATGTCAATCTATGCTCTGTTCGATGATGATGATGATGACGCGTTAAGTGGCAATGGTTGGCTTTTCCTGAGTCCAGCTTGTTATGGAAGAGTTTCTGCATCGCGCTGTGCGTCATTTTGTTGTAGTTACTACAAAAATCAGTGTGAGATATAGTCTTTATTGAACAAAACTATCCAAATTAAGTATGTTTCTTTTCATTTACCATATTTAACGTTAATTTCTCTCACAGATTCATAAGTCTTTATGCTCTCAGAATTATTTAATAATGCCTCCTAATGTGATTTATTAGATAATCAATTTGAATTTTAGGTACGTTTTAGGCAAAACAGTTTGAAAAGAACGTTGTGTTCATCACTGATACAATCTTCAGACTGTGAATATGATAGTGACGAAGTATCACGCAAAGGTAAGCGGAATATACATATAACAGGACACTCATGTTTTTGACTAGTTAATTTCTATATGTGTGGTAGTAAGTAATTCCATATTAGTTTGTTTCTTAGATATATCACACAGGGAGTGAAACAGTATTAGTATTTACTGGATGACGTTTCGAATAAAATTTATTGGTCATAATCATTTCATCAATTGTAATCACACGACTTTGAAACTTGAGTTTTATAGTTTTGTTTGTTTTCTTCTATTTGTCGTTGTGGGAGTGCAACAATGCCTGAATTCCACAGTATTTAAATTCAAAGGGAAAATATATACAAACAAACTAAGGGAGTTGCCATGTGATCACCAATATCTCCGGTTGTAGCAGATATATTCATGAATAGGTGGGAAAAGATAGCGATTGAAACGCTCACCCCCACCCCGAAAGTATGGTGGAGGTATGCAGATGACACATTCAGTGTATTTAGAACAAAGAATATAGATAGATTGTCTTTTTGAACACATTAACTTGAGGGTAGAGGCAATTCAATTCACTTATGAGTTGGAAAGTCAGGAAGGGGACCTGACAATGTTAGATTGCAACATAAAAAGGAAAGAAGGTGGGAAGTTAAACACTAGTGTGTTTACAGAAAACCCACACATTCAAGCAGATATTTGGACTTCCGATCATCCCATCCCATGTCAGTAAAAACAGGATTGGTGAAATGTTTAAATGACAGAGCACAAAAACAAAGTAGTACCGAGGAAAGTCTAAGACAGGAAGTGATACAGATAAAAGAAGCCTTGAAATTTAACAGTTACCCGGATAAATTAGTCAGGAAATATGTAAGGAAATGTAAAAATAAAATAAATAACGGTAGTAGCGATAGTGATAATAATAATAGTGATAGTAATAATAATAATGATGACACCAACAATAAGGAATCTAAATCATCAACAGTAATTCCATACAAGGAAGGAACCTCGTAAGCCTTACGCAGAATTCTTAACAAGGCAGGAATAAAAGTAGCATTCAAACCCACAAACTCAATTAGAAACAAACTTTGTCGGTTAAGGGATCCTGTTGTGCCTTTGAAACAAAACAATTTAGTTTATCTAATACCCTGCTGTAATGATTGTCAGATCAAACATAGGTCAAATTAGTAAAACAGGGGCAGTCACCCAGACTAGCAGAGCATAAAAACCTAGAAAAATCTAGAGTGGTTGACCCGAATAAGATAAGAAATCTAGAGAATAGTTCAGCTATAACACTCAGTACAAGCAATCACACATAACCATACAATAAAATGGGATAGGATGACAGTTTTAAAATCTAATGTAACAGCAGGGTATAGGGAGAGACTCATAACAGAAGCTTTGTTTATCGAATCAACCGCAAAGATGTGTAATAGGAACGATTCAACACCTGTCCACCCAGACATCTGGAAAATTCTACTACCCCAACGACGACAAATTTGGAGAAAACAAACAAAACTAGAAAACTCAAGTTTCAAAGTCATGTGATTACAATTGATGAAATGATTATGACCAATAAATTTTGTTCAAAACGTCATCCAGTAAATACTAATACTGTTTCACTCACTGTGTGACATATCTAATAAACAAACTAATATGGAGTTAATTTCTACTGGATAAGTTTTATTTCTCTTGCAAAATTTGTATATATTACTGTCGAGTTGTGAATTCAAGTGCTTTGAAAATATTGTCATTCATGAAAATGAACCATAACATTTTCAGGTGTGCAGTGCATTTAGTTTTCCATTGTCAAACAGCAAGATGAAAGTTAAGTTAACATTATTATTGCTCAGTGAAAAATTGAAATTCATATGTGACGTTAAAAACGGCTACTTCAAACTTGAATTAGTATAACAGTTAAACAAATTTTTCAGACATCTGTATATGAAAAGACCGCCGGATTATAAACACAAATGATGTTATAATAGTGTTTTGAACAAATTCGGTTGGTGGTCATAACACTGTGTGAAATAAAATCATTGTTTCCTGCCTTACTTCAACACTCAGTGGTATTGCTAGGCGTAAAAAGGATTGCGAAATAGATAAAGGTGTGTGAAATGTGATTTGTTTCACGAAATGTAATAGAAAAGTGTGTATCTAACGCATACAGTTTGAAATAAAATGGTTTGGAAGGCATTCAAATACTAGATGAACCTATAAAATGTATTTTAAACTAACAGCATATACAGATTTTCTGGCTTGTCGAAAAATTCAATTTAAGCTTCGTTCAACTGCAGACTGATCGCTTAAAAGACAGTTTCGAAAGTGTTCCTGTAATTATTAGATAGTTAAAGGTAATCGACAAGAAGCCTTCGACATATATTTGATGCCTGTTGGCACTGGTCTGCAATCCAAAAGAAATTTCATACATTTATTTCCCTTTAATGAATTTGAATAAAGCAAGAATAACAGTAGTTCTTGCAGAATAAAATGGTACCGTCATTGTTTATTTCGTCGGCTTCTCATCAGCTCAGCTGCTTACAGGCCAAAGTCATTATTAAGTATATCTACAGAGACAATTTTAACATACGTGTACAGAGTGTTTACAATAAATAAATAAATATATATAATAAACACTTTATTCCGAACAATAATGATCATACACAACGGAAATTTCCGACATTAAGTAATCAGGTGAAAGAGAGGTGGAAATATCCACTTACCAAGCAGCAGGGCAAAGAAAGACTGATAACTGCTTCTTTATGAGTGCATAAATCAGGTTTCAGGCGATTGACAGAGGTGGCTTCAACAAACTTGAGGAGAATTGAACTCCTTTCCTTATTGATAATTTGAAACCATCTTGAGACGTTCACCTCATGCCTCGTGTCAAGGAGATGCCTGGCTATGCCACTGTTAAAAGCATTTGTTCAAATGATTTAAACACTATCAATAGGCAAAACAGTTCAATTCTCCACAAGTTTGCTGAAGCCATCTCCATCAAGCAACTGAAACCTGATTTATGCGTTCAGAAACAAGCAGTTATCAGTCTTTCTTTGCCCATCCTGGTAACTGTATATTCTCACCTCGAAAGTTTCCATTGAGTATGATCATTAATGTTCGGAATAGTGTTTAATACTAATACATATATTATTAATGTATGCATATATTGATTGATTGATTTTTCACGGAATATACACATTGGGTCATAGGAGTAAATAAGAAGACAATTGCAGCGAAGAAAATTTTCTTTTCGACGAAATCAGCGTCAACTAGGCTGTACATTCATGTATTTATATCAAATGGATGAGAAAGTTCCAGAATAATATCCGGTCAAGGGTCAAATTAATAAAAATTAAAATTAGGAATTAGAATGCCATAATAAACGGGGGGATGGATAAAACAAACAAAGTAGCATCATGATAACTAAGAAGATTGACATTGTGCAATTAGGGGTTAGAAATGTAGAAATAACAAAATAGACAGGATGTTTGGATAAAAACTAATGTGATGAATAAAAGTTTATGAAATCAGGGATTAAATATGTAGAAATAGTAAAATGACAAAATAAACACGAAGTTCGGGTATGAAAATATGGTAGTGTAAACAGAGATTAAGAAAAACCTAAAATAACATGAATAAACAGGAAGTTTAGATAAGAAAGGCGATGGGATGGTCATTACTAAAAAATTACCTGTTTATGATGGCCATGGCAGGGAAAGGGGTTGGACGTATTTCCTTTGTATACACAGCGTGGGTTTGAGCTTTTGTATAGCTAGCGCCTCGGCTATGCCCAGTTGCCTTGATTTTACTCCCTTTGATAGGTTTGATCGAATCTTGTACATGATTTTGAAGGATTTTTCGAGTGGCGCTGAATGTCCTGAATTAACCAGATGTTCTGTCACCGAACTATTTACCCGTTTTCGTTCTCCTTTTACTAGCCAGGCTGGATAGTGATTGATTTTTGTTTAAAGGTGAACTCTGTGCAAGTATGTTCAAATTGTTTTTGTAGATATACTCAGTAATGACTTTGGTGAGAAAGCAGCTGAGCTAATGAGAAGTCAACGAAATAAACAATGATGGTACCATTTTATTCTGCATAAACTACTTTTGTATTTGCTTTATTCAAAATCTTGAAGGAACTTGTGGCCCTTCTGAGATTCGGACGCGTGTCATCCAGTGTGCGCCAGTTAAATAAGTTACCAATGAGCTATTTAGGCTCTCAACTAACCTCCTGTAGGACTCTTTAGAATACTTTAACTGGATACCAGGTAGCAACCAGTGCCATGTGTCTCTGATTTCACAATAGGTGACACAATTTCAAATCTCAGATGAAGGCATGAATTTCTTCAAGATTACGATACGCTTTAGTGACTGATGAGTGCCAGAGAACACGAAATCCATGTCTAAGGCCTCCTACCAATTGCCTACAACCATCGAATGACAATAACTCAAAGTGTATCATGTCGGCCAACTACTGAGCATAGCTGTTACACTGTAAACTTGATTGATAACATTTGGTTTGTATCAAACAAAGAATTACTAAGCAGTATCCAACCAAAGTGTACAATACAGTCACGAATAACAAATTATAAAGCAACAAGTCACTGTACTTCTGTAAACTGTTCCTTTTGGTATTGTGCATCTGTGCGTATTCGGTTTACACTGTTGTATTTTCATGCTGTCATCCCTTGTCTCAACATCCTTTCTATTCACTCAATCGATTAAAAGGATTTCTTTTAGTTGAGTATGATTCAATCTTTCTTAGTTCCCCTGTTTCTTCGGTTCCTCTATTACATGCACTATTACAGATAGAATCAAAACACTAGGGATCTTACATCATATTAATTCCACAAATTAAAAATTGAGCCTAAAAGATAAAGTTATGCAGAAATTAGGCATTACTGGACAGCACTTTTGTGAATATACCTGATAGATTTTCAGTACAGATGTTCTCTTACTGATACATATATATATATTGATAAGCAATTATTATGCTTTTTCAGCAAACAAAAAAGTAATGCTTTAAAAATCCATGAAAATTATGCGGTTCGTTGCATTCTGTTATTCCGTTACCTTAGAAACGTGAAAATGTGAAGAAATAAAGGATTTAAATTACGTTTATAATAAACGCGATGTAAACGGAAATCCGATGGAAATGAGAGGTTACAAACAGATAAACAGAACTTCATAGTAACTTTGTTATGCGTTCGACTCAGTTTTAATTGTTACGTTTATGCTTATATTATTTATGCGTACATATATGGGAAACTTAAATAATTCTCAATTCAATCTATAGAATTTATTAAAGTAATAACAGGTGAGGCAGTAAGTCATTGAAGAAGACATTGAGAAGTGGTCACGCTATGTCAGGAATTGCCAGAAGATAGAATTCATGGATTGGCCATTGGGTTAGCTTCCAGTGGCTTAATGGTCTACGAGCCAGTCCGACTTGCAACCAATAGGTGCTGGATTCGAGCCCCGGTGGGTGCGTGCTGTGAAGAGCCCCAAACTAGGAAGAAACAGTTGTTTAGTGATATAAGTGATGGATTCCCTAAGTGCCAAAATATATCTAAAATCAACACCGTAGCTTGAGACAGATTGATAGGATGCGGCTAAATCCGAAATTAGTATTTTAAGTCAATGAATATAGAAGTGGGACTGTTTATTCCTAAATTCTATATTTAATTTACGTTGTAGACACGAAACAACTCCATTGGCTAACTTGTGTAACCCTGAATCCACTGCTAACCAATCAGAACAACCTATTGTTTTCTGACCTAGTCGAATTTTAATGTGGCTAAGAATGTATAAATATGATCCATTACCTTATCTCTTATCTTCTGTTGTTACAATGCCAGCTTGGAAAAACAACTGTTTTTGACATGATGGCTTCATCGCAAAGATTTATTTCCACAGATTTCGTTGTCTATTCTAAGCACATGGTTACATTAGCTTTCATAAATGCTAAATTCACTCATTTTTAACTTCCAGTCAAAATTTTCAGGTTTTAAATGTATCGAGACATAACACTTAAATACCTCTAGTTTCCTTTCCAACTGAACTGTCACACTACGACAACTTTTCTTTTAAGTCATGAACTAGATATATACGAAGTCTACAATGCATCAGGTATCACAGAAGATGAGAGAAACCAGAGGCTAGAATTTGGCGCCACGTCACTTTGTAAAACAGTAAGAGTGGCTTTATTCAACGATTCTGAATGATCTGAAATTTGGTTGGAGGCTTTAATTATGATCTTGAAGTACTGGACAGCGGTTTCATCCTAGTCTGGCATTCATTGGCAGTACGCACCCATCACCAGTGTTCAGACGCAGGACATTATGGCTCCAAGGCGAGCTAGCTTGTAGACCATTAAGCCACTGGGACCCAATGCAATGGCCAGTCCAATGACAATTCAACTTACTTGAAATTGTATAGATCATTATTCTGCTTAAAATGACAGCGAATATCTTACCATGAATAATTGTCGACTCACTTTTTTTCCTCCAGATTCTTTAGAAGACCCACTTTGGTTATCCAATGATAATTACCACCGTTTTTGGAATGCACGGATTATTTCTGCTACACAATCTTCGAAAGCAACAATAATGTACAGTTTACTAGCTCTTCGCAATCCTAATCTGTTTATACGCAATAAAATTGATCTTGAACGTGGATTGAGGATACAACAACGTGCTTATGTTCAGTTGGCTAATGAAACTGCATTCAGTGAACTAAGAAACCTGGTTTCAAGTTATGAGGAGTTACGAAATCAGCTGGGAAGCATTAAACAACTGTTACGTGAAATAGAGATTGGTTTTTGGCGAGATCAAAGAGAGGCTTTACAGGTAGGTTCTAGTTATGTTTACTTTGAATAATTCTCACAGAGTCGACATTCATTTGATATACGTCCTTCTTAGATGAGATCAGGATTTTAGCTGACAATCCAATCACTACTGGGATTTGAGATCCTAATTGCAATCATCTTAATTTGGTGTGTTGGTGGAAACAACACTAAATACAATTTAGAATTTGAATAAAGCGAGAACAGCAGTTGTCGTACAGTAAGATAGTACCATTAATGTTTATTGTATTGGCTTCTCATCAGCTGTATTCGGAAATTATGAAGTCGTCAATGAACGGAACAATTTTAACGTACTTACAAATGTCATATTGAAAGTAAAGAAGACAAGGGCCAGACAACAGATCGTTTATTGAGAAATTCAACACATATTTATGTGATTTTATGCATATTACTATTCGTTATTATTAGCGGAGAAGCAACGACTTATGACTGGTTTTTCTTGCCGAAGGTTATTCTGTCATCTGTTTGTGGCCGTTTCTTAGAAAGCTAAGCCATATATCTGCGAATCGTATTTGCACACGTTAGCTCTTCTGTGATTGGTTGATGCGTTCCTCAAGGTTAATCTTTGTCATTGTTTGACAGGAGATTCCAAACTAGATTAACAGTGCTCAAAATATCGCACTTATGCTGTTTTTACCCACAGAGTTCAAGTTTAAAATAAACTAAATGTATGCATACAACGGTAAAGGTGTTACGTGATAAAGACAAGTGGTGAGTAAGATAGCAAGTGGCTAAGAAAATGAGTAGCAGCGTAGTTAGTTCAACATAAGTCATGGAAACAAGAGACAAGCAAAGTTGCACTACTTTAAAAAGGGAGGAAGCGTTAAAGCGAAAGACTGCGTAAATAAATGAAACACAGAGAATAAAGCTTTCAGTTATCAGAATAGGCAAGGAAAGACTGATAACTGTTTCTTTCTGAACTCATAAATTGGGTTTCAGGTATTTAACAGATACGGCTCCTGGGAATCTCAACCGTACTTAGCTATTTTGTCTGTTGATAATTTAGATGGAGTCTGTGATGCTCACTTCATGACCCGCATTGATGAGATGTCTGGTGATGGCACTATCCTAAGCATTTATTCCCTTGACACTTAGGGTTGTAGGTTTACTTTCAGAAAATCAGAGGTATACCCTTCTTTGTATTCCCCGATATAATCGCTCTCACAAATACATTCAGAGAACAAGTATTTTGCAGGAACACTTAAACAGTATTCACAGTATTGTTGAACTTAGCTTACTCTTTGCCAAACATTGACACATCGCTTTAAGGACACAATATTCAACGAGCAGACTCTTCTCAACGAAACCATATCCCGTGGGGAAGTTTAAATGATGGTATGAATACTTGAATCACTAATAATATGAGCTGCTATAAAAATGCTTGTGATTGCATTCAAAGTTAAATATCAAGTGTCATATATAGAATAATTCATAAGATGTTGGTATAATTATAGGGTTAGTAGGCTAATATAAAACGTTACATCACATGGTGTGAAATTTGATAAAAAAGAATCCATCATTGACAAGCTGGACAAGTGAAACGATACCGGAAACTATTCAAAGTGGTAATCGTAGTAATAAGCAAATGTTACATAAATTAAGTCGACAAACTTAAAAATGAAGAAAAAATGTTCACTCCTCTGCGGCAAAGTTAGAAATAGTGACTGTTAGTAATTCTTTAGTACACACAAAGGTGTGGTCTGACTTCATGACTGACCAAAGCCTTCACTGTCTTCAGCAGTTTGGACAGAAGTAAATGTGGCAAGTTAGGAGACATTCAGTGGACAGATGATCTTAAAATCATACTCAAGGTTGGTGAACTGACATCCATTTAAATCAGAAACAAATATTCCTGTGATTTGTATTCATTTGTTGAGACTTATACAACTGCAAAATGAGTTCTTCTCCTTACTGATACCCTAAAATATCTGAATAACACACATAAGGTATCTTTTGAGTTATTATAGTAGTATTATTGTTTCCTTTAATTCCTAGAGGAACATAGGGATTCAATCGCAAGTCTCCATTGCTTTGAGTTCTCTGCCATGATTTTCATCTGGCTCCACGTCTGCTGACATGCTTTCTCCTCCTCCACGAATGACCGCCTCCATGTCACCCTTGCACTAACAACTAACTCTCCTCTTCTCATTTGTCTTCCACTCGAGCGATGGTTTTCTCAGAGTATGGCCAATCCATCTTCTTTTCTTCCTGCACATTTGTAATACAATTGGTTCCTGGTTGGTTGGTTCGCTCATTGCTAGAGATCCCTGTTGCTGATCGTTTCTGGCCATCTGATCTTGAGCGGAGTAATGAGCAAAGACAGATGTTGATAAAGGTATGTAGTTTATTCCAAGTGCCTTTCGTGATGAGGTGCCAAGTCTCTGATCCGTATAGTAAGTAGCACTGACTTCAAATTGGAGTTGAAAATCCGCATATTATTTTCATTTTCATGATGGGTGCTATTGACCTCCACACAGACTTGAGAGAAATGAAAACTTGCCTGCTCTTCCGATCTTCACATTGATATCCTCATCAGTTCCGTCCGCCTGTAGGTGAGACGATGCTTCCCAGGTAGGTCGGTAGGTGAAGGAGGTTGCTTCTTTCAGACTTCTCCCATTTGTGCTGGCTGATTGTTGTCTGCTGATATTGCTGTTGCTGTTGGCCCGGAATCTGTACCATCTCTGTCTTCTTTATGTTCACCTAAAGTGAAGTCCTGTGTTTGATGCTTCTTCTACCAACTTGTTGCTTTTCACTTGCATATCTTCCAGTTCGTTGGAAATCAAACTTATATCATCATGGGCAAAGTCTAGATCCTCCAATTTCTTTGTGTGGATCCATTTTATGCCTGTCTCCTCGTGGCTTACCTCTGTCTGTCACATTATCCAGTCTACCGCAATCAGAGAAATCATTGCAGATAGTAGGCGGCCAGTCTTGTCTTACTTCCATCTTCACTTCGAAGGACTCCGTGAGTTTCCCGTTGCGGATTACTTTGCATGCAGCATTGCCATACAACTGTTGGATGTGGTGTATGATTGTTCTCATGTAGAGAACATAACAAAATGAAAGTGTGCGGCGGAATTCATGTGTTGCACTCCTAATCGAAGAGAAAAACTATAAAATTTTCGCATTGTGCTAGAATACATAACAAGCAATCGATGAACTTCAAATCAAAGCTACAGTAATGCGCGTATGGAACACAAGTAGAAAATAGGATTTATCTAATTGCATTTGAACGATAAAATCTCTAGTTTGAAGGTCATCTTCGCTTTCAGGACCTATTATTATATACATATTTAAATATCTAATTTGGTGTAGAATGCTAAATATTCGATTTGTCACACTAAAAACAGATTGCAAGCATTAGTATTACCTGACAGAAATACAAACTTGACTGAACTTAACAGCTACGCATAACATGAATGGTTTAGAAGGAAAGGACACAAATTTTTTTTTACCCAGTAACTTTGTATAATGAACAGTTCGTATACTTAGAAATATGCTAATTAATTAATTAATTAGTGAAACAAAAATGATAAATTACAGGGCTTAGAAACCTAAGTTCAACATTACTCAATAGCTATATGTACACCGTAATCATCAGTCATTATTTTTCATTTTATCGTCTTCTAAATTCAAAGAAAAGGAATGCTTTGTCATTTCAACTGACAATCATTTATTCCACGAATAATTTCACGTAAATTTTGTCCGACAGACCAGGAAGTTTCATTTCCTGCCTAATGAGAGTAGAACTTTAACTAATTGGTTCACTGACACATGCATACATACACACACACTGTTTAAAATTTAGCTTTCTAGTATTATTTTATGGGGATTTGATTTGTTTAAAATGTCATCAGAGAGTGACTGATATTAGTTAATGAATCAGTCGGAGTAATGGCTAGCTGCTTCGTCCTAGTGTGAGACTCATCAGGGTGATACCAATCCACTGGGGTTTAAACAGAGGATCTTCCGACAACAAGGTGAGCTCACTTACCAGTCATTCACCGGAAACCGACGCAGTGATCTATCAGTTGTGACTTCTATTAGGACGAAACATATGTCCAGTACTACTTGGTTTGTAGTATTTCTCCGTGATCACTCCATGGCCAAACTTGAAAAAAGTGAAAAAAACCTACAGACTAACTCTTAGAAACCAATCTGATGCTCATTGTCGACTGCCTACAGGAAGAAGTTCCCTGAAGTTATGATCAGTGGTGTGCATCCAGTCACGATTGAGGAGAAATGCTCGCCAGACATCACGCTAACATCATCAATTAGTAGAAATTGGAATTCTTAGGCCATTTATTTGGGTTCCCAAGGGATGAATGGTGCACGAGCCTGCTTTGTAATTGGAGAGTTCATGAGTTCGAACCCCAGAGAGTTGGTACTGATGAAGAGTCCCAAAATAAAACGAAACAACTGTTGAGTACTCCCAGCTGGTTCTCTAACTGATATCTATCCGTTCAGCCTACAATAAAAGTATATCATAGCGTTCCATCTCCTCTTCCCACTATTTTCTAAAATTAAAAATGTATTACCTATGATTTTAATAGATTACTACCACTGATATCGTCGGTAGTGTAACTGAAACAGAGAGTTTTCTAAATCTCACTGAGTTTAATAAAATCGGTTGAGTAAAAGTTAGTTTCGCTCACAAAGAAACACATCCGGTTATACGATATAATTAAGTGATAATTAAAACTGATTAACTTTTATTAATGTCTGCGAAATAATCTCTTTCATACAAAGCATAAAAATAGAACAAGAAACAAAAAAAATCGCTTCATCTCATTTAGATGACTGAGATTACTGTTCTTCAGATGGTAAATTTCAATGTGAATCTTACATAACTTACCTTGTAACGACAGAAGCCAAAGGCCAGACAACAGATCGTTTATCGACATAATCAAGAGATGTTTATAGATTTTTATGTACATTATTGTCAGCGGAGAAGGAAAACTCTTCTGATCGTTGTTTTCTTGC